CGGGGAATGGGACAGGGCGTGGGAGCGAGTAGGGTCTGAAGGAGTGATAGGGAGGACTGGGGGAGTGAGCAGGGAGTAGGGACCAGGTGGGGGAGTGATCGGAGAGCTGGGGGAGGAATGAGAAAGCTGGGGGAGAGATTGGGGGGGCCTGGGGGAGCAATCAGGAAGCTAGGGCTGGGCAAGCCCCTCCCCCAATGGTCCCTCCCCCTCCTCCAGCTTCCCCCACCACTACCTACCTACCTGTCATGGAGCCTGAGTCCAGGTCCCTGCAACCTGCACTGCTGCTTGCCCTGCACAGGCAGGCAGTGTGCTGAAGCACCAGGGCAAGGGCCAGCCATAGAGACGCTCTGACTGGCTACCAGTGCGTCTCTATGGAGGACCTGAGCCTCCAGTTGCCTCAGGGCTTGGCTGCCCAGCTTTTTTCCCCCAGGGTATTTTTTGATACCTGGATCTCCAAGCAGAGATGATCCTAGCAGGGTGTGGAGCCCAGGGCAAATCAGCCTGTGCAGGGCCCAGATGTGAAGGCGGCAGCAGTGTTGGCAGAGGAGGGTGGGGCGTGGTGAGTGGCTGGATGTGAAAGCGGCAGCACTGCAGTCACCAGCACTAGGCAGGCCCTGTAAAAGGGGCCACAGCCGCTCTGCCCAGCTCTGCAGGGCTTCCCAAAATGCAGGGCCTGGAGCAGTCATCCCAATTCGCCCTCCACAGAGACAGCCCTGTCTTCAGGTAGCAAATTTTGCCCCTGAGCTGCAAATATGCAGCATGGGGAACTTTATTTGTTCCCAGCATGAGTCTTGCAGCATCTCAAAGGGGTTTGAAATGCTGCAAGAGGCACATGTGGGCTCGTGTGGATGTGCTCAAGGTGTCTGTGGATTAAACCACAGGATGGGGAATGGGGAGTACTGGATTCCAAATTCTACTGACTGGCTGCAATATCTTGAGCAATGCTCTAACAAACCCATCTGACAGTGACAGTGATATTTGTCTGCTTCCTGGCAGGTTTGCAAACAGTGTTTGTAAAGTGATTTAAGGTCTTCTGATGAAAAGTGAGACCTAGTTGAGCAATATCTGGTAGACTCCTATGACATCGATGACTAGTCCTGCTGTCCCTTATGGCAGTGTTTCCCAACTTTTTCCAGCCCAAGGCACACTGACATTAATAAAAATTTTCTGCAGCATACCTGTTAAGGCATTCCCCATCCTCATACCTATTGTAGCTCATTGCCATAAGAAAATTCTGCAGCACACCTGTTGATCTCTAATGGCACACTTTTGTGCTGTGGCACGCTGGTTGGGAAACACTGCCTTATGGCAGAGGCTCATTTTAGAGGGCCTGTGCTTACCTTCTACAACCTATCTCTGGGGTAGTCCCATGATCTCAGAGCAATCACCAAGGAGGAGATGAGCCCAACATCCCAGCTCTTTATCCAGCCTGCTCCCACACTCTCTGCAGATGAGACAACTGCCAGCAGATGCATACACAGAAGTGGCACCTGATGACTTGGCACACTGCAGCCAAGTGGGGCTGCTTAATATTTAGGTGGTTGATGGGGTTGTTTCTGATTCTGAATAGCACATTCTGGTAAATATGTTCATGCCTCCTTGACTTTGCTGCATTAATGGTTGCTAATTAGAAAAGCCGCATGGTTGTATCAATCCATGTGAATGACCCACAGGGATTGCTGAGCTTTTACTTTTCCCATTTCAACAGCAGCAGCAAGCTCTATGAAGTTTCAGTTGGATGATCTTATCCTATCATTCTTCTCCCTACTCACAGAACAGGCAAAGCCATTTGCTTTATTTCCTTTTTTGCTGCTCTGAGGGGTGCTGACAGACAGTTAATGCCTAAACAGGTGCATCTTGGGTCTTTCCAAGAATGCAGTCAGAAAGGCGGACATCTTTGGCTGTGGGGCAGAGAGTCCCAAGCACATGGGTTGGCTGCTGTGAAGGCTCTGCCCGCAACTCACCATTCATCAGCCTCTCTCTTGAGTTTTCCTCTCTGTTTAGACATGAACTGGTGCCAGTTCTAGAAGGTTCAGTCAAAACAGCTGGTCTCTCTGCCTCTGTACTCAAAGACACTGAGTTAGCGAGGTTGATAAGGAGAGTGAATAGCATGGCATAGAGACCATGGCATGGCATCTGAGCAAGAGGCTCAAAGAAAAGATCTTGTAATGAAGGCTGAACTATCTCTGGCTGAACTACTGCTGTGTATCTCCTACCTTAAAGCTTATTCTGCAGCTTATCCTCAGTCTACTAAGCAGCCCTGTTATTTAGGGGATTCATGGGTTTCATGAACTATATCCATGCAAAGGAGCTGTGAGACTGGCTTGTGTGGATACAGTCATGACCAGAGATCCTTTCTCTCCCAACACTGGCACAGTAGGTGAAGAGCCCATGTCAAGAACTCTGGTAATGAAGGACACAGCTCTGAGCTCGCAGAGAAAACATGAGATCCTGTAAAACCACAGAGAGCTCTGACATGCTGCAAAGCCATTTTGTTTTTTTTTTAATTTTCCAATAATTTCTCTATATAACTCACAATAATGCATGGGTCCCTGGACAGACTGCAGAGACTTTGAGGGCAGAGGATGGAAGAGTGGACAAACCAGTCCAGGGCTGCACACTGTCTTTTCCTCTGGCCTCAGGGAAGCAGGTTAAAGGCCAGGCCTGAATTACCTTCACTACACATCTCCCAGGGGTCTTACATTTGGGTTCTCAGTGGAGTTTTGCAGCCGATGGGCATTGGGATCGGAGGCAAGGGATTCCAAGCCAGGCTCAGCACAGGCACGAGGCTCCTGCAGGAAGCCCTCACCTCCCAGTGTGCCTGGGGGATCCATTAGCTTAGGGTGGCCCCATATTCCTATGGCCCCCAAAGATGAGAGCAGCTCCCACCATTTCCTCAGTTGAACAAGGGGACTTCCAGGGGTGTAGGTATGTGTGGGGGAGGGAGGAGGAAATCCTCACAGCAACTGACCCAAGACAAGGGACAATGGAAGACAGAAACCAAACCATAGCTCTTGACATTTAGCCAGGCCAGCTCTTCCTGATCAGCTCTGACTGAAAAGTCAGGGGAGGCTGTGAAATACAGACATTACAGCTTTGCAGCATGTCAGAGCTCTCTGCAGTTTTGCAGGATCTCATGTTTGCTCTGCGAGCTCAGAGCTATGTCCTTCATTGCCAGGATTCTTGACAAGGGCTTTGTGGGACACAGCTCTACCCTCACCTTTGACTGTCAGAACAGCAGAACCAAGCCCTCTAACTGTGCATTGGCACTGTGTGATAAGACACTCATGAAGAAGCTCCATCCCCGACCCAAGCCAAGACCTGAATCCTTTCTTGTTCTCTGCATCACACCCCTCTCTTCATCCCCACATCCTTACTCTCACTCCATAGCCAGGAGACTGTCAGACAACTCTTCTCTTCCCAATATAGTCACCACTGGTGGGGGTATAATTCAGATTTTTGCATCTGCTCCTAATGACTGGTGGACAGAGAAGGCCAAAAGGCCAGGTCCCTTCCTGGGGAGCCTGCAAACTTAGGCTCTACAAGCTTGAGTAGGTGCAAGTGGCAATGCCAATCCAGACAAGCAGATAGCACTGGTGTTCCCATTTCTATTGCACTAGGGACAGCCCAGCAGGTTGGCTTCCTCCTCAGGTACAGGCTTGGTAGGTCACTAAGCCAGCTCTGCATTTTGCACTTGTTTCACCACTGACCAAGTCTACAAAGCCAGCCTAGGCTGGACTCCATTCCTTTGGAGAATTGGCCACAGGCAGCACTAACTTCCCTAGGGGGAGTTCATTCCTAGATGAGATTTTCTTTTGACATTTGGGAAAAATCTCATCTAGGGGGGCACTGAGCACAGTCAGCTGGGGGCACTGAGCATAATCATTACTAGAGGAACTGTCTTCTGGCAAGGGCTCTTCCAAAACTCAGAAGCTGGCAGGTATGTAAGAGCCCACACATATAGGAGCGGGCAGACTGGAGGGTAAATCATGAATAGAGCTTGGCATGTGCTAAGCTGATCTCACAACCCTGTGATTTGATTTACGCAAGCAGGAAGCAGAACAAATGGATCCCTTACTTGTGTCTCCTTGTGCTGGCAGCAGCCCAGGAATTCTCTGCAGTCCGGACATCAGCAGGTTCTCAGGGAAAAGGTGATATGCAGCTTCCAGGGGTGGGTGTAGCTTTAGGGTACACTGAAGGTGACTGTTCTCCATCACAGTCATGTGTTTGTTCTCTAAACAAGAGAAAAAACTATGCAGTATCTGAAACCAGAGAGACAGACTGTAAACTCCAGCTGCTGGATGGAGAAGCAGATGCCCTGAAGGTATCGATAAATGGTAGTTTATGAGCAATGCAAAAGCTGCTTTTAAAAAGCCATTTTCCCACAAACAGGCATTATTAATTAAGAGCTCTTTCATGCCAAGCTGTAGTGAGAAGCTCTCGGGTCTCAGATCTCCATACCCTCCAATGTTAGGGGACATGAAAACTATGCACAAACTGTGGAAGCTTGCGACTAAGCAACCTTGGATCACCTGGAGTTACATGCTTACTCTTGACTTCAAGGAACTCAGAAGAAAATCCCTTCCCTAGGAGTTCTGCAACTAAGTGATTCTTGCTGAGGTTGTGCCTCAATTCTGTGAATTTCTAGCAGCTAAGGCCTACTCACCACAGATCAGGATTTGGACTGTCAGATTTCTGTGCCAGCTGCTTACAGTAGCAGGAAAATTCTTAATCCCAACAGCTGGCTTCCATAGATCCACAAGGTCATTTATTTTTAATTTACCTTCCCTAATTTTCCTCTGCCACCTTTCTTTGATCCCAAGTGGAAATTTCAGGAGGTGGGGAAAATCAACAGCATACTATTGCAGTTAAGTGGCATGCTCTCAGGAAGGCAGCCTGGTGCAAATCTATCTCACAGGAATGACTTGTTCTGAGGGGAAGGGTTGGGATGGAAGGGCATTTTCTCACCAAAGCCGAAATGTGGGAGTCACTGTTTTGTGCCCTGATGCCCAGCGAGTCCCATGAGTTTTCAAAAGCTAACAGCAATGAGACTCCACTCTCAAGCTGCTAAGTAGCATTTGATATTCACAGAAAGCCCTTATGGAAAGTTAACAGCAGCACCTACACAAACTGGGACAACAAGGCTGCTTTCTTTTAGAGCAACAATCAACTCCTAGCTACTTCGTGCTCTGACTGCTTCACATAGTTCCATGGGGCCCCTTAGCACCTGGACAGGGACATTACTCACCTACAGTTTATTTCTCTTAAACTGCAATAAACACAAACAGCCATTCTCTGCAGGGAGTGATATACTGACCACAGACAGTTTCCTAACGGGCTGTCATGGCTGGCCTGGCAGCTTTAGCTTCTCAAACATCTTTATTGACCAAGATCATCAAGCAGTCACAAAACCCATTCCTGTCACTTAGCATGAAGGATCAGGATTTGCAGTAAAAAATTGGTGCTTGGGCTGCCAGGCTTATTTTCTTAGTCTAGAAAGCAAACATCTTTCTACAGGTGACCTTCTATGCAGAACTCTAGCTGGAGCAAAGGTAGACCAGGCTGTCCCACCAGTGGCCAGGAGAGAAGCCTCTTTTCCCTCCCTGGCCCATCATTCTGCTCTCCCTGCCTTCAGTTTGGGCCTGACTCAGCTGTGCCCTGGGCTCTGTTAGGGTCACCTAGTAAAACACCCATCAGAAGTGGGAATTAGCTACATCTCCATGGTGTATCAAATTGCTGGGATGATTACAGTTCTGGCAGGATATTTAATGTGACATGGCTCATTATTCAGGGGAAGGAAGAAGAATTCTTCTGTTTTCCTGCCACATGGCTTTGTGTTTCTCCTTGACTATTTGTGCTTTCCACTGGGTTCTTTCCAGCTAAAATATTGGTGCTGGCTAGCACCAGTTCCTCTCGAGATATGGCTGTCCAATGTTGGAAGCACAGACCTGCACTGCAGATCTGTGTTCCCATTCCCTTGGGAGTGCTGCAGATACAGCATGCAAGGAGACCTGCAGCTGATCCCTATGGGTGATCAAGGAGTTGTCTAGGTGAGCTCCAAAGGGAGACCTGCTACTTTGGGGCTACTGTGGTGTGGGGTCAATGCAACAGGATGTTTGGGGCACCTGTCACTTCAAGAGAGGGGGCTGCTTGCAAAGTAGCCTGCAGGTATGGCAGAGGGCCAGGCTTGACCCATAAGCCCAGGGCCTGAGCTGAGTCAGGAAATCTAGCCCTGAGTGCCACTGAGAGAGGAGCTCCTGACACAATCGCTGAGCTGGGATAAGCAGCACTGAGTCCAGAAACAAGCCAGGCCTTGAAACAGATAGGACTGAGAACAGGAGTGGGTGAGCCCATAGCCTGAAGAGGAGCAGCAGAGGGCCAGGGGCCCAGTGCCTAAGAGAGGCACTGCAGGCCTTGGAACAGATAGGCCTGGGAATAGGGGGCTAGGAGCCCAGTGCCCAAGAGGGGCAAGGCAGGTCTTGAAACAGATAGAGGCCAGAGGCCCAGCACCCAAGATGGGTGATGCAGGCCTTGGAACAGACAGGGCCAGAGGCAATGGCACAAGAGAGCTGCTGGTAAACAACACCTGGTGTTTGTGGAAGGGACTGAAGTGGAGATTAGGAGGTCCCAACTGGCCCAGCAAGAGAGAGGGACCAGAGCTCATTGAGGGGCAGAATGCAGGGCCAGAGCAGGTCTTGGAAGAGATAGGCCTAAGGCCCATAGAAAGAGAAAGAGCTTGAGCCCAGGAATGAGTAAGTACTTAGGAGAGGGTCCGGTGCCTGGGAGAGATCAAGAGGGTCCAGTGCCCAGAAAGCACTAGGGAATATTGAGAGAGGCTCTACCCTAGTGCATGGGGGGGGGACCAGGAAACTCTGGTGCCCAGGGGGGACTAGGGTGCACTGAGGGAAGCTCCATTGCCTGGGGCCTGCCAGAGGGCAGAGAGGTGTGTTGGCAGATCATTGGTGAGGCATGGGAGTGGGTATTGGGAAGGATGGAGACCAAGAAGTTGGCCCTTAAGGCAATAACCACAAGCACCTGTGGTCCAAAAGTAAAACCAGGCTTGGGAAGCCCTGGGGCAGCCTCCCTTTTATCAGCCATCAAGGCATGGTGGGCAAGTAAAGGAAAGAGGGTCCTAAGGGAAGCCAGGTTGGCATGGGCCAAGCAGCCACCCCTGGAACAAGCACTTGCTACAGCCAAGCATGGGAGAGAGATGAGGAATCTCCCACTGCTCAGGAAAATTTTCCCCTGAGCAGCCCAGAAGCTTTGGCAGCTAGTACAGCATTTAGCACAGGCTCCACATCATGAGCAAATAACCTAACAACAGTGCGTACAGGAAGAAAACAGTCATAGATATTATCTGCTTACTTTCTATAGGGTCCTGGAGGAGTGGATGTAGCAATGCTCGTGGTGTCCCATGGTACAGCTTGAGCCTGTAATTAAAGAGCAGAGCAAGACAAATGGGGAGTTTCAAATTACTGCAACCTACAGTGAGAATTTCCCAGGATGCATCTGTTCAACAGCATTCACTAACCCCTTTTGCGTTACTAACCCCTCTAATAGCAGACAGGTCCCTTGGAGCCCTTAGCAGGCTGCTGAGATGTCAGGTCCCTTGTTCGAGCTGACTTTTCTGGGGGGTGGATCTTGATGTTTGAATCTAGGGTTAAGAGTTCCCTGCCTATCACGTAACTGGGAACGGGTTAAAATACATGTATATGAAGCCAAAGGGTCTCTTGCATACCAGCCTGTGCTGGGAATCTACATGGGGGCCATTCTCCTTAGCGCCCCAAGTCCCATGGTGCACAACAGTTCTAGTATTCCCATTGCCTAGGTGGAAGAGGAGGTGCAAAGAGACTAGTTTGCCCAGGGTCACACAGAAAGCTTGTGCTAAAGCTGAAGGTCCAATTTGCTGAAGTTGTAAGCTAATGCCCACAGTCGTCCTCCCTCACTGCAGAGCAATGACTGTGTGATGACCCAGAACCTTATCCCACCCCACCCCTATGCAGATACTACAGCACATATCCTCTCAGAGCAAGAGGTACTCACCCTTTGCCCTTCACAGCCACATCTGTTGGCTCAGACTTGGCGTTGAACAGGTGCATGATTCCAAACCCACAGGAGAGATCCTGGTGGGTCCCATCTTGCTTTCTAGCTGTGGCCACCACTTCCACAACAATGATGATGCCAGGGTGGTTTAAGGATGTGTGAAAATACACTGTCTGGAGGCAGGAAGGAATATGTCCAATCTCAGACCCCAGTAGAACAGTAACTAGATAACACCTATGTCACAGCTGGAATGTAAGATCCAGCGCAGTCATATTAACTACACACTTCCAGAATAAAGAAGTCTCTGGTTGGAATTAGAGCAAGTGCCCTTTAAACATAGAAGTGAGAGTGGCAGACAGGGCCTGATGCCTGTCTAGGAGGTTGTCTAACTGTAGTTTCCCTGCCTCTCGCTTACATCTCTAGGCTATATTGTTTAAAGGAGAGGACTTGGTACTTCTACTGAGCAATGTGATTGCTACACCTTGCATAGCAGTGAAAAGTTTTCCACATTTTCATGCTACAGCAAGATGTCCAAAGCAGTCCTTACTCAGAGAAATTATTACTACTGCCAAAGTGTGCATAGTGTCACCCAGGAATGGCACCAAGAACCAATCCTATCTCTCACACTGCTGGCTCAGCTTAGCCCTGTATGTCTGTTTAAAGCTAGTAAATGTCAGAAACCTAGGGAGTGAAAAGCATTGTTAAAGTGGCCTGGGTTCCCTAGCCAATAAGGTTTGGTTACTCTCAGGCAGCAGACTCCATAAAAGCATGGTTCAAATGCTTCATTTGACCCTATGTTACCACAGCACGCTCTAGGCTGGGAAAAGCAAAGCAACTGGCAAGCAGGAAGGTCTCTTATGGCCTCCATCTGCACTGATGCAGAAGGGAGTAATCCACAAAGATTGAGAGTATGATATGGAGCAAGAGGTCCAGGGAAGCAAAGAGGGGGCAAGGAGTGACATTATTTAAGCCAGGTTAATCTTTCTATTAAGGAGTCATTATCATGGTGTCGCAGAGACAACATTTACTGTAATCATAGACTGTCAGGAAGGGATAACGGAGAGAGACATTAAAACATCATCCTGGGGAAATAAATCGTTATTCTATTATCTTTTATTGCAAAATGATGAAATAATGCCTGCTAACTGCTGACAGGTGGCTGGACTGAGAGAGAATAATGCTTTGGTTTGCAAAGGACCAGGAAGCTGTTAAAGTAGACCAGTTGTAAAACTAAGTTTACCACCATCTCCTTAAATGCTAATAACAGCTTTAATAACACAG